CCCCCCCCCTCAACCCCCCCCCCAAACAAAAGAAAAAAAACTCTCTTTCTCCTCCCTACAAAAAATTTAAATTATCCCATATATCTTAATGCCTCGAGGTGAGGTTGTTGATTTTTTATTAATTAGTTCATTGCAGCTTCTTTTTTTTGGTGCATTGATTTGTTCATTGTGGTTGTCTCTCCTCCATTACGTTTGAAATTCCAATTCATTTTAGTCATTAATTGCATATTTCTTGCACAAATTCCTAATATAGATTTGTTGATGAGTAGATTAGTTTAAGTTTAGTACCTTATCTATTTCTCTCAGATTGTTTATTTGTGTTATGCATTATATGATTGTTCTGGAATGTAATTTTTTTCCATATTATTTGGAATATAAGCTTTGTACGATAGGACACATGTTATGCATTATGTTGCAATGCATTTTACGCTATCCAAAGGCAAGCATTACATTTCTGCATTAGCTTTATTTTCAAAATTGAATACAATCTATAATGATCAACACAACAGGTGAAATAATGCTAAATGCATTGCTGTTTGTGGACGACAGAACAGGTTCAGCTCGTTGTAAGCACAAATTTTGACAATTTTGAAAAAGCATGTTATCATAAATTTGTGAATTGCTTGATTTCATTGCATAAAATTGTAACAGTTAAATAAAAGTTCACGCACTGAGTTATTTGTGATTTAGTTAGTTTTTTGTGTTTTGTAAGAATTATTTATAAAATATTGGGCCCGTATAGCTGCTGAGAACCCTGCTGATTAATGATATGATGACTCCCAATCTGGTAGAAAACAGTCGACTACCAATGCAATTGGAATACAACAGGTTCAATGGTTCAAGTTTAGACATCACTGCATACTGTCATTTTTTCCCGTAGAGGCAACAATATTGAACTTGTTTTATAACACTGTATTCTGTTGGATGAAATTAGTTATGCCAAAGCACATCTGTGGTTACACACCTGAGTTCCTGTAAAACCGCAATGTGTTAACAGTTTGCAATATGGCTGACATCTGTGCTGGCTGAGCTTTTTGTAGTGGAAGGTGGCAAAGGACCTAGGGAAATCAACATACGTTAAGAATTTATATGACTAAATCTAAAATAGATGTGAATCCAAGAAAAACCGGCAACCTTAAAAAGGACAAGAAGCACAGTGGTCTGTTCTTCAAGAGCTGCATCACTGAGCCACGTAGCTAGAATGCTAATACCACCTTTGGTCGAAAACCTAAAAGGATTAAAAGAGCCAGGAAATCAGGTGTTGAATAATATTCCAACATCACCAGCGCAGTTGTACATAAAATAGAATAGGATTTAAATACCAGCTCAAAACAGATGGATTGTCAATTTTTAGAACCCACTCCATAAGCTTCACATGTCCAGAAAAAGTTTGCTCCTTTCTCATTAGATTGAAAATGTCTTCCACAAACATTTTATCATCAGAATCCACACCAGGAGTAGCTTCTTCTAGTGATGAACATGAAGGGCCTCCTTCCACAGGCTTGGGATCAGTTTTCACAGGAGCCGGTTGAGCATCTTGAATAGGGGTAACATCCAACAAACTCCCAGGAACAAATGTACGAACAGAAGTAACTATCCCAGGGTACCCAAAGACAGGTGTAGCTACAGAATTAACATTTCCTGAATTTCGAGTAACTGGTGCAGATACACTAGTAAAGTTTCCTAAGGTCCCAGGGACCTGTTCACATAAACTAGTAAAGTTTCCTGAGTATCCAGGAACCTGCAAAGGCACAGTATTAACATTTCCTGAGTATCCAGGGACCTGCGAAGGCACTGTACTAACATTTCCCGGGTAACCAGGAGCCTGTGTACACATAGTTGTAAAATTTTCAAATTCCCGAAGAATCTGGGGACAAATTGGAGTGAAGTTATTTGGGTTCCCAAGGAGCTGTGAAGAATTAGAAATAGCATTTTCTGGAAATGCTGGAGACCGGGTACAAACATAAGTACTGTTCCCTGAGACAGGCGGATGTGTATAATCACCAACAACACTAAGATCAGACGTACTAGCAGGTATGTCTTTGCTTGCAGGTACCAACTGCTTGGGACTGACAGAGCATTCATCAACAGTTGACTTGAATTCATCACATTCAGATGCTTTCTCATGCGACAAGCGGACAAGCTTTCTAACCTTTGACCTCTGATTAGAAAAATAATCCCTAACCTGCATTCCAGTACCATTAGTAAAGACCATGTGAATTTACATTTCTAATAAACTCTTATCCGTCGAGAGTATACAAAAGATTACAAATAGCATGACAAGGAAAAGGCTAGTTTTGCTTGATCAACAAATCAAGATTCTCATCCATAAAAATTCTTATAATGAAAATGCATCTAGACAGAAGGGTCTATGTAGCACATAGTGATCCTTTTAAAAACAATTTAAAGAAACTAACATTATAAATAAGAAGGATCATTAATTAAGACACAAAGAGAAAGCGTCAGATGAATAACTTCAGGTTAATCCAGTTGAACAGCATGCTTTTGAAGAGTAAAGGTATTTTCACGATCACAGAGTAATATCATACATCTATAGCAGTTATGGTCCTTTGAGAGAATACAAACACCAATGAAACAGAAGAATGCGACAACTGCTTTAGGATGAATTTTAAACAAACATACAAGAGAATACAAACAGAAGAGAGTTATTAACAACCTCAGTCGTACATTAGCATACTATTCTGCAAAATATTGAATGAAATAAAATATTAGTTAGTACACAGAACACCATAATATTCACACTAAGCAATCAAGATGAAGGCATGTCAGAAAGAGTTATGTTAAAAAGTGTCACCATGGTTAGAGGAGCAGGGAAATAAAGGAAATCCAGACAATTAGACATAGCAAAATCTAGAATCTAGAAGACATATTAGCCAACAAATGACCTGTGTAACTGTTATCCCACAAAGAGCACTGATTTCACGTAATTCTTTCTTCCCAAATGTATCCTTTATTGAGAAAAGCAACTGCATATACTTTACTGCTTTAGGGTTGAGCAAATCCCTAGGTCTTTTACCTGCAAAATTAAACATGAATATTAAAAACAAAACATCGTAACTTTTTGTTTTAGTTGACTACATAATAAGATTCATTGTGATGATATGAAAAAGATAATCACCATTAAAACACAAGTAAAACTGATCAAATACTAAAAACTAGGACCTTTTAAAAACCACATCAACATTCAGTTTGAATGATCAAAATCACAGCTAGATATAATTCCTTAATTTTATTCGATTATAGCTTAAATTAAAAGAAAATAATTGTATGAAAGTAGAAAGCTTGGAGTAATCACTCACCGATTTTAATTGATAATGCTCCAGCAGCCTGCACGCCAAACAAAATTCCAAATCAGTGATCCTCAAAATGATGAAGAGTATAAGCAAAAAAAAATTTGATAAAATTCTCATAATTAGGGATCATCAAGCAAACCCAGAGAAACATAAGGAAACCCAATTTCCACCAAAAACCTTACATTTCGCAATCAAAAGCTTACCATCTCCTGAGACAAGGGATTGGCGCCGGTGAGCTTGCATTGGGCGACGACAATCCTCTGAAGCTGATCGATCTGGCTGTGAAAAAGCTCCTTTTGGGAATGCACGAGCCTCATCAACGACTCCACCCCCCCCCGGCCCCCCCGGAGTTCCCAACGTCCTCCAATTCGACGAGGGAACCATAGCTCGAGGACACCGAAGCAAGCGCCTATCTCGCGATTCCGAGCGGCCGATTAAGGCATCACATGAAACATCCAAACGCTAATTGACGACAAGGATCGATCAAAATTAGGGTTAGGGCTTTGAGTTTGGCGGGCGGGGGGGGGGGGGGAAGGGGGGGGGGGGGGGGGGAGGGATGGGGGGGGAGTTGTTTAACGCTGCGTGCCCTAAAGTTTTGGTTTTTTAGGGGAAGAGGGAAACAGCGGGCGCGGTTCAATGGACAAGCGTATCAGGGATGCCAATGAATTAAATACCCATTGCCTAATCCTGTTCTCGCTTCCATTTGTAGAGAGAGCAGGTCTTTCGGATGAGTGGGTTATTGGGTCGGGTTCGGATCTATTTGTTTCTATTGGACCCTGATTTGCATATTTAATTAGGGAAAACTGTGCAAACTCTGTGTGGCTTCGGATGCTCCCTACTATCTCAAAAAATAAAGAAAAAAGAAATAACAAAAACAAAAATTACTATTTAATTATAACTATTAATTATCTAATAGTTAATTATAATTTTTCTTCTTTGAGTTCAACTTAGAAACGGGTGCGATACACTACACGAAAAGTAGAAAATCTTTCCCGAGTTTCAAAACTATTATTAGTGTTAATGATTTAATCTTAAAGGAATGAAATGCCAATTTGTAATATTTATGAACGCCGTCAAGAGATTTGTTAAGAAAATAAAAGTTTAGGAGGAAATTGCAGGACACCCCAAAGTTTGGGTGGTTTGGTGGGGGAGAAAGTAGCTCAGGGGGTTTAAGTGCAGCACCCCCAATATTCAGGGGATTTTGTGAAAAAAAAACGTAAATTTGCAAACATGGTAAAATTTGAAGGGTATATTGCAAAAAAAACCTAAAAAATAGTTTAGATTTTAAACGCTAAAAATTTTAGGGGGGTTATTGGTTGAGACAAATTGGGGCCAAGTGGGAAAATTGTTCCAATAGAATAATTTCATCCCATTGGGATATTTTGAGTGGGGTAAAGTGGGATAATGAGACATTTTGGTCCTTTGATTTCACAATTCATGTGGAATAATTTGATGATGTGGCACCATATTAAAATATAATTTTATCTATTAATTACTTCTAATAAATTAACTTATCCAATTGGTTTAGTATATCATTTAGTATATTATTATAATATAAATAATATTTTACTATAAATTAAAATATAATATATTGTATTACTAATTAATATTATTAATTATTATATTACATTATATTATATTATATTAGAATGTTATACTATATAATAATTAATATAATATAAGATCAATATATGTGATATAATATTTTAATATATAATATATTATTTTATTTATACAAAAATATAATATATTATACTATAATTACTAATTAATATTATTAATTATTATATTATATTACATTATATTAGTATGCTACATTATATAATAATTGATATAATATATGAACAATATATTTAATATAATATTATATGATAATTACTATGATATATAAAAAATATCTAAAATGTATTATATTATAGTACAATAATATATTTATTATATTAATTTAATATAATATAATATAATCACATAACATGATTTATATTATATTATATTTTATAATTAAATGTAATATACTAACATATTTATTAATTTTAATATGTTATATTATATTATATTATTTTGTTATTAGTTTAATATAATAAAAACACTATAATATAATTGCTACAATAAAATATCAACTACAATTAATATAATAGATTATATAATAATATATGTTATTAAAATATTATATAATATTATAATAAATATGATGTACTGTTATATAATATAGTATGTGATATTACATAATAATATATAATAATTATCATAAAATAAATTATAATAATATTTTATTTTTTTACATGATAATATAATATAATATATTAAATATATTATTACTTTATATTTTATATATCATGTCATATATTTATAATATAATAAGCATGTATTAGTTAAATAATACAAAAAGATTTAAAAACTATCCCAATTTCCTTTAAAGTAGAACAAAATTGTTCCAATATGAAGTATGGGGTAAATTTTTATTGTTAAGGCAAAATTTTTATATATGAGTGAGGTACTTTTATCCCAAGTGATAAAATTATTTCACTAATGTTCCAAAAAACCAATAACATAAAAAGAATATCATTGTTCCATTATTCCAATGAATAACAATATGAAATAGAATCCCCAAAATTATCTCATTATCCTCCCAAATGTCCCAATGAATAACCCCCCTTAGCCTCATATACAACTAGACAACATCTCAATCCCCACGAAGTTAATGTTCTCAGATTTTTTTCGCTGGTGTTCCCAAATAAACTGTAAGAAATCAAAACATGCTGATATAAACCAAGTTATTAATTCAGCCAGAGAAGAGAATTTTAGGTAATCATGGAAACATAGTCTCCTCAGCATCCTATAAAATCCCACTGATAAACCATATACAATTTAATATAAGGGAAAAAGGCTTGCTATGATAATACCATTAGCAATATCACTAGCAATTTTATTTACATTGCAATAGTATCTTCATTGATTTACAGGCTGGTAGACTAAATATATATTTTCTGACTGCAATAGTCAAGGGCAAGCAATTTGTCTTCTTTTTGACATCCTTCCCAGATTTTGAGAAACCATGGCGGTAAGATTCCTATCTTCAAACTTGATACCTGAACTCAATCTGAGGGGAAAACAAAGAGAGAAGTCACCAAGAAAATTTATCAGCAAAAGCATCAGGCATTTCCTTAAACAAATATGTTTGACTTAATTTTAAGGTTAATTACAGGAAATACCTAACCCCCCCCCCCCCCCCCCCCCCCCCCGGGAAGTCACCAAGAAATTTATCAGCAAAAAGCATCAGGCATTCCTGTAAACAATATTGTTTGGACTTAATTTTATTAGTGTTACCATTACAGAAAGTACCTAACGCCCCCCATATACCGCGCGGGGGAGGGAAGTCGGGGGGGGGGTCGGGGGGTTGCAGTAATCCCGAAACCCCCTCAACCTTTTTCAGCCCCTGCCGAGAGTATGCCGATAAATCGCCGAGAACGGCCGCTGTCGGAACCTTTTCAGCCCCCCACCCCCTCGGGCAAATAAAGTGAAAGAGAAAAAACTTGGGGGAGGATTAAAAAATATTTTTTAAGGTAAGATGTAGTGAAATAAATAAGTTCAGGGGAGTTCTGTGCAATGACTCCTAAAGTTCAAGGGGGGGTTTAGTGGAATAAAATTGTTCCAAGGGGATTTTCTGTAATTAACCCTTACTTTTTTATACCGTAGAAAGAAGGAAATACCTAAAATATAAAATATATGGCATACGTACTTTGGATCGAGTACTATCTTCTGTACTTCTCTGATGGCTGAACTAGCAGCATACAGGGACATCTTTCCCACCTGCAAAAGTATGTATCTCTAACTATTAAATATTTCGGGTCTCCTAGAATAGATGAAAAGAAAATTTCTTGTACAATCAAAATTGCCAGACCTCCCACATATTTAGTTTTGCTTCATGGTCAGCTGGAAGACATCGGATTTCTTGAGACATTTTCACGGAGACATTTAAACTTTCAGGGGATAAGAAATCAAGGCCCAACTGAACTGTAGACTGAAAAATTAATAAACAATAGATGGAATTAGTACAGAAAATTGTGTAATTACCACCAAAATACAATAACAAATTAGTACTGTAGGGCCTAAAACACAATTATTTATTCAAGAGTAAATGAGCTGGCACCAATTAAGATTGTTACAACCCTTTTCTTCTCTAAAGTCAAATCACAAAAATAAATTGCAATACATCCTAACTGAATCTGCAATGGAGAATTTCCTCAACTTATATCCTTGACCTCCCTATCATTGTTTACAGCACAAGGTGTGTGGACATAAATATGGATGGACATTTTCTCCTCGATTCTGTGCTTCATAATTACCCACTATGAAGATACGACAAGCAGAATTCCATGGAACATTAAATTCTGCTGCAGGACAATTGTGGTGGTGGTGTTGCCGTCAGTGAACATAGCCTAATGATCCAAAGTATAATCTTTGTGGAAGAAGATACCAGTTGGCACAAACAGAAACAGTGGCTACTAATGGCAACATCTCATCTCAAACAAACCGTTACAACCTCTACTAATGCCCCTAACCTAGGTCTTCCCTCCTCTTTTGCTCTTCCCAATGTGATTAAACCCCTATAAACGAGCCACCTACCTAAACCAATGTGGCGAAACTTATGTTGGTTTGTATGCCAAACCACAATAAGTTTAACAATTTATAATTATTCGTCATACGCCACAGCGGCAGATTGTCATTCAAGATATTGACCAATAAAGGCAAATGTGAGCTGAAATCATGTGGCAAATGCATGTCATTCCCTCTTAAAACTAATACTAGCCATATCCAATGACATATTTCTAGAATTGCTAGGTTACATTTATTCAAAAACATATGTATTCATATGATTGGATTACTAGCCACAATTTTTACGTCAAGGAGATTTTTATAAAAAAAACTATTTGCAGGGTATCTAATTTCTTACAACAAAGAAATTGTTTGTCCACCTTTTTGTCAAAAAAAGAAACTATGTGCATTACTTCATTATTTCATCCTGCTCTTCATCGTGTCCTTTTCCCAAATGGCCTTACTTTGAAGTGACTCAGAAGGTTCTATGTTGACAAAATTTCATATCATGTGTATTAGCGCAAAATCACATGAAAAAAAATGAAAAACACATCAATCTAGTGGATTGTTCAAAAACCTTAGTTTGGAACTATCCATGTTTTCCACCTTCTACATTTTGGCACAATGCTACAAAGTCTTTCTGTGTGAGATCCATGGTCATTGCCATCCTCTACGTTTCGACCACCTTTGCCTATTTGTAAGCAATGAGGCCCTTAACCCTTTCCATAGTGTAATTCATAGGCGTCAAAAGAAGCCTCATCAAGTAAATATCTTTTTCTTCTTTTGAGGATCTTCCGATTGTTGACATGATATGAAGGACCAATACTACAAACAGTACACCTCTGATCATGGAATAGTGATTGCTTGAAGCTAGGAATCACATGAAAATGGTATAACTCCAAATTTTAGGTCAAAGAATTTCATAAGATGTTGATGCCGGAAAAAGATGCAAGTGAAGAATTCCCATGGGATGAATTTGATCCGTGAATTAGGAAGCAATGAAGAATTTTAATCTCCCCCAATTCAAATTCCCACAATTATTGCAGCTTGGGTTCACGTAGATTAGGTAGATAGTCCATCTACTTAAGTTAGGAAATTTATTTTATCTTTCATGACATTATGAGAATTATCTTTATATTATAGTATCCCTTTCAAGCATTTTCAAATCTCCATTTACTGGACACATCGCATCACTTAGATCTAGTAGTCTTAAGCAACCTACGAGATTTAGAATTGATCTGTTGTCACCAGACTCGTCACTCACCTGAAGATTTCTAACTTGAAAAGGACATCCGGCTGGAACAAGAACAGCCTCACCAACATGTTGTTCGAATGTCCATGGCTCTATTCCTGAAAAGTTCCAGCATACATGTTATACTCAACAGGAAAAGGACATAACCGGAAAAGGAAATAGAAATTGGTACCAAGAACTAGTGACTAATGGACATCTTTAATGGATAAAAAGCATGAAATAAAACCAAAGAAAAGCACGGTAAAATTAATATGACATACAACATAGGGCAACATATGGCAGACACAAATTTTAGTTGCAATATGAGAAAATGACTAAGTAGCCAAAAGTTGTTACTAACCATATTCTTCCTTCAATTTTCTTTTGTGATGTTTATCTAAGTACAAGCTTTGCTCATAAACAGGACATGGGACCTGAAACCAAAACAATTATTGCAATCAAGTTGAACATAGAGAAGTAACATACTTACAAACAATAGAGAAGCAAAAAGTGTAGATGAATTAACTGGTTGGCTGGGAGAACTTGTAATTTCCTCCCAATGAACTCTCAAAAATTCGTTCAGCTTTGGAGCATCCTGTCGGCGGAACACATCCCATATAGCTCCTGCAGAGACCTTTTGTAGACCATCTCCACAATTGTCGTCTCCATGGGAGGAATTTAGACTCTTCTTTTCAACCGAAGTTATATTACTTCCACTGCATATTTGATCCTCCATATTGTTTAATCCTAAGCCAGACTCTTTTTGCGTAGCATGCCTTTTAAGTGCCATGTCAGGTGGTTTGATTTTCTCATCAAAATTCAGATCAGAATTGGGAAAGCTTGCATTCAGAATAGGATGCTCTCCATTAAGTTCCTTATAAGGTTTCTCAGTCATCTCCAGTTTGAGTCCATGTGCACCTTGATTATGTGCTTCCGTTGAGTGCATTAACAGGTAAACCTAGAAAATGGGAAAGAATGGACTATGATATACCTTTATCTTGCCCATTTACATATGAATCCGATAATAGTATATACCAAACTCTGTAAGAGCATTCACAAAGAGTATGTGCTCATTTACATGTGGACGCTTGTCTGTATATTTGTACTCTCAATTTCTCTTTAAATTATTCTTTTGTGGTTTTCTACATATTCTTGAAGGTGCAAATCAAAACAATATGAAATTTTAGGATGTCACAGATAAGAAACATTTTGGAGTCCAATATGAAATACCCCTAAATTTTTTTGCTAACAAGGATATATGCAGGCTCTTAGAGAACCTGCCAAATCCATCAAGCATATAACATTCCGCTCCACTATTCCCCTGCCAATTATCATGGAAAAAACAAAAATCCTTGGGACACTGCAGGTAGTAGTTGGAACTGATTCTAAGATAAATTACTTCGGAGTGCAATGCTGTGGCCGTCTCATCTTCTTGCTTTGAATACTCTTTTTTATTTATCGGGGTCACTCAACTGCATTTGTGGGTATGTAGTTATGCATATAGTATAAGATGTTGCATCATCATATACCCTGTCTTCGTACCCTATCCATGTAGTTCCCTCTCCTAGTCCCATGTTAACGTTTGTCTTGTCTGTGTACTCCACTATACACCTAGTTGGTGCATCAACTAGGTGGCCCAACCGACCAATATAGTAATACGGCCAATATAATAACATATATACAGGTGCCATTGATGATTTAGCACAGGAGTATCTTCATCCTACTAAAGTTTATTTAATGGAATGCACTAGGGAGTACCAAATACCCAAAGTACACGGCACATGCCTTAGGCCTTTATTTCAAATTAGTCACTAGCTGTGATGCATATTTCAGGTAACTATTTAAAGATATCATGATTTCAGATGATGTTTTATACTGCCTATCTCATAAAGGATAACTTGGACACCTACCAGATCACCCATGTTCATATGAAGTTTGGTAACAGGATCACCTCCTCCAAGTTCATTGCGTGTCCCATAAGAAATATAAATTTTGGGCCCTGCTTCGGTCTGTGTGCTCTCATGGGGTAGCTTAGCAGCAAGATTTAGTAGACCCCACTTGGAATGAATAAATTCAATGAACGGAAGATTAGTAAGGAACTCCGGTCTCTGGCACATTATAAACTCTTCCCAGGCATTGGGTGCTGGCCAATCTCTTAACATCAACATTTTTGGTCGTCCATCTTCATTGATAAGCCCCTCAGAATAACCCTTGATGAACTGAGAGAGTTCAATATCAACCTGCAACAATTTTATGTCACAGATCATGAAAATGAAGACATGTGTCTGCACCAAGCAGAGTAATTAGAAAGTTTTTGATTAAAGGATGAATTATATTGCGAACAACATAAAAGTAAAGGAAATCACATACATATAATCACCATCAACTTTCAAAACAATAGAAGCTAGACTGCTTACATTTGCAACTGCATCAGCAAAAATTTCATATTTTTCTCTAAGAATAAAATATTAAATGTTTTAATGGTAGTTCTTTCCTTGTTCTTGTTGGAATACACAACCCACATGGTTCTTTCAAGATATTGCTATGATATATAATTATCCAAGGAGCTAGCTATTTCAGAACAAATTACCAACTAACTGTGGCTTGATAGCATAAGAACAGAAATCATCAAGGCTTCTCTGATATTGGTACTGCACAGGGTGCATTGTGGCATAGACTCTGTTCTTGTCGATTTCTTGAATTCAAGCCTAAAAAATTCCCCCAATTGCAATTGCATATGGTCGGAATCAAACTCAAGAGCAACTCTTTCAGAAAGCAATAATTTTGGTATTCAATCCAATCCACTTTGGTGAGATTTTTTGAACTAGAATATTCAAAGCAACCACTATTTACTCAAATGCTGCAAGTTGTCTATCCTGTATGAGGAGACAATGTGCTATTAGGAACGAGGCAACTGGCTGCACCAACACATAATTAACCTTTTAGTGAGCCTCTCTTTAACTTCAACTGATTGAAACCGATACACCTAGGTGGATCTAGTGAAAATTATTGAAGAGTATACTTACTGCATAAATTCACATTTGGGCATTCAGTTTCATTGGGCGCCCTCCTCATCACTATCAAGCCTTTTTATTTAGTGTTTAATTCCTCTTATAGTTACTAATAAGAGAGTTGTCATCCTGAATGCCACTTGTCTTTCAGGCGATTGTTTCCTCCAGTTATTTAATATTTCAATTTTTTAAAGAAAATACAAAACAAAAACACGATTTGACTGTAATAATAGCAGCTAAATAATTTATATCAAAGCTTCTATGTTTCATAATCAATCTGTAGGTTATATTTATGATCTCTATAGCCATCAAGGTTGATGTAACTGGTCAAAATAGATTTACATACAAGGCAATCAGACAACAAGCCAGTGCTATCAATACACGATGCGCAATGTGAAGCGCAAAGTCCTTTTACGCACACATGCGCAAGACGTGATGCAAAGCACACGCCCAAGTGAAGTGAGGCTAACACCGCATACATAATTTTTCTAGATAGATAATCAAGCATGAAAGAATATGTTTACGAATTTTCACATAAAATGTATGTCAAATCACAAAAGAACATATTAACTCATAATGTTAACACACCTAACAAAGCAGTAAAGTTCATAGTTTTCCAAATCAAAAGTCAAATCAAGACTAATAGAATCAAATCAAATAATAAATGAGAACGAGTTAAGGCCCTCAATTAGGCTACTAAAATGGCCTACTGGGTGTATTTTTCTTTTAGGGTTATGAGTTATCGGGTGAATATACGAGGCTATGTCTTGCATGCACCCTATGCAAAGCGCCCTCACGCAGGGCACTTGTGAGGCACAAAAAGGCGTTGTCGCCTCAGATGCAGGGTGCTTCGTCTCTGCCCCGCATCAACAGGGCACAAAAGACACAATGAGGCGCGTGCCTTTGATAAGACTGCAACAAACATCTTAGAAACTGGGTTTTAGAAGTTCAATCTACAATATATATGCTTATGATCTCTATAGCCAACAAGGCTGATTCACTGGTTAAGTAGATTTTACATATAATGCAATCATACAATAGGCCACTTCGAAACTGTTTTTCCAGAAGTTCAATAACTAGTTTAAAATCAACTATACCATGAAACTTCGGTTAAATCCTCCGCATAAAACTTTGAGAACAATTTTTAAAAAGTGAAGCAACCAAACAGCCAAAAACTCTATAAAAATTGGTCGCAATAGGTTGGCATAATTATCTTAGAATCTAGAGAGCCAAATACAGATTAGAGTAATCTGTAGATATGGATCACATTAGTTTTCTGCAAAGGTTTTTATATGTGATATTACAAAAGCATATTAACAAACACCACAACAAGGTACTATATGGATAACTGTTCTTATATTTGACCAGTCAACTCCTTCAAACAGAACTGTACTATAAGGTAAGATGTATAACTTAAAAAGCAAATCAATCATCTAAAAGAAAAAAACTTTAGAGAAATATCCAAAAGTAAATTATTTGTGGGAACATATACCTCTGATTGGCTTAAATAATCTGTGACCTTCACAGTAGTACTATTTTCTGGCATTCTCTCATCAATTGTTTCTTGAATTCCTCTCCAGATACTCATAGGGTCCCAGCTAGAGGCCAAAGAATGATCAAACACGCGCTTAACAATAACTGGCTCACCCTTGACCCAGTGTTTTTGAAAATGGCTGATGCCGTCATGTTTTAAGTCTGATGTAGGGCAATACAAGATATTGCAGGAAGTACAATTGTCTGAAGTTTGAGGGTTAGAACCTTTACATCCGGTAACCATTTCCTCAGCATTTTTTACCAACTTTGCAACCCAATTTATTTTGAGAATACGCCTTAACACTAATTTTGAGGAGGCACAGCCACCAGCCTCCTCTGGTGCACAAGGGATGCTTCCATCAGTGTTGGCCTTCCAACTGGGAAATAAATGTGAAAAGTCAATAGCATTTTCATCATTGGAGAGCGGCATCAGTTTTTCAGCAGTTCTTTTTTCTGCTGTAGATTCTCCATTATCAGCAACCACGGATGCACTTCGAAGGTCCCGACAACAGGTGAGGCACAAATCATATAAACACTGAGGGCAGTGCCGATGGAAATCAAAAATGGGTGTCCTGCAAAAATTACTGCACATAAAAGAAATCATTCTAACTCTTCATCTAATAAAAAACAGCTGAAATCACAAATGAAAAGTTGATAGTCAGAGAATTTGTGGAAAATACCAGCACATCTGCTCGTCTGCATGTATACTTGCCCTTGGAATATCAGTTTTCATTCCTGTGTGAAGCATGCTGAAAGGAGTTATATTCAACTAATGGATATCAGAATGTTAAAATCAGAAATGTTATTGTGTATGTACCCCTTAAATCATCCGTATTTGCAGAAACAGCACTCAAATCTCAATACTAGCAAAAATACCCCTCAATTCATCAAGATTGGAAAAAAAAATACCCCCCACTTAACTTTGTTATTAAAATATTACTTTCTTTTGTTAGTTTAATGCAAACAGTTAACTAATGAGTAAGTCACTAAACTTCCCCCATCATTAATGAATGAAGTGTTTAGAGTTCTTGGTTTCTTTATTAATCACCCCTCCATCTTCTCTTTAAAACTCCCTCCCTGTAAACAGTTAACTAATGAGTAAGTCACTAAACTTCCCCCATCATTAACTAATGAAGTATATTTTGGGAGGTACGCTAACCCCCTAAATAATCAGCAAGAAAACGCAGTAGAGAAAAGTACACCAAGATATAACGAGGTTCGACAAATTTGCCTACGTCCTCGGAAGCCGCACAGTAAATTTCTTTATTACTTAAAGAAAAATTTATAACTTGCAAAGAGCAGATCTCAAAACTCTTTGAGATCTCTCAATCAAAAGGCAAAAAACTTGTTACTGTAGATTCGCTATAGTAACTCGTGCGAAGTTGAAAAATCGCTGCTCAGAATCACCCTCCGAGTGCTGGAGAAAATCGCGAGAAGAAAGGTTGGAGAAGAACTCAGCCGCTGAGTTTCTAGAGAAGATAGCGCTAAAATCTCAGCGCTATCTCGTGTTATGGGTTCCCTTAAATAGGGAAACCCTAGGTTGAAAACAACAGGCTGTAACAGGCTGTCGTTTGTTTTCTTCTGCGAGTTCGCCTGCGAGCTCGCCTGTGAGTTCGCCCAGGAGCTCGCCTGTCTGCGAGATGGCCTGGATAGCTTCTTCGCAACTCGCCTGCACTGCAGCTTGAGCTCGCCTGCGCCTGAGCTCGCTTGCACTTCTGCTTGAGCTCCCCTGCACCTGAGCTCGCCTACACTTCTGCTTGAGCTCGCCGGGACCGCCTGCGTCGAGGTTTGGATCTACACCCAAAACCAACAGTATATTATAGTTCCCGTTTTCTTTATTAATCACCTCCCTCCCTCCCTCTCTCTCTCATTCCAGACTTTCCATTCTCCTCATAGCCGAATGAATGGTTTCCTCTTGTCTGCCACTATGGAGATCGAACATGTGGCACCAGTGCTTGGGCCCTAATCACTAAGCCCCCTCTATTGCCAGCAGCCAACTTCCAGCGAGTTAGCTTCATTGGTTCTTCAACAAAGTTATAAGGAAAAGCAGAGAAAGAAATTCATTCATTACAAACTTCATATACTTTCCCTTTCATAACAGATAAGAGAAAATCATACATATATATGCCGACAAATCATTACCATCACAGAACTGAAGTCTTTAACATCCAAAGTTTGCAATAGAAACCATGCCTCAGATATCTCACTATGTTTGTAAATTCATCATTCAATTAACAGAGAACCATGAAATCACTACAAATAAGATTTCCTGAAGCGGCTCTGCCCACAGCTCTCATTAGATTCACCTCTTTGAGATTGTGACTGGTGAATGCAACTATGCAAGTTTTTGGTTTATGGTTGCTAGGGTGACGGTATTTGGGACGGGAACTGGTACGGGGACTAGATACAACTTATTCGGGAAAAGGTAAACAACAAAATAACCTATAAAACTATTTGATTAGTAATGGGATTAGGCGTAAGAGGCACTTTTATATATATATAGAGAGAGAGAGAGAGAGCAAAACTTGTGTCAACTTAAATGGATAGAAAAAAGTTATCCACCAAACTTTTTAGCCACTCACATTGCCTAGGAATCTTTGCATGATATGAAAAGGTTTTTTATATTAATAAATGAGTAGCTAGGAAGTTTGGTGGACATCAACTTAAGTTGATAGGAGTCTTTCTCTCTCTCTCTCTCTCTCTTTATATATATATATATATGGAAAAATTGCTTTAAGCCCCCATCTCTCTCTCTTTATATATATATATATATGGAAAAATTGCTTTAAGCCCCCAAAATTCAAGTTTCAATGTGCCCCAGCGTCTCACATTTTGTTTAATGTGCTACAGCCCCTTTTTTTTGAAAAAACTGTGTCTAGAGCCCTCTATCATGATTCCAGCTCATGAATAGACATGTCAGCTCATGATTAGACATGTCAGCTCCTAAAATTCTAATTTTACCCTTTCTCTTTCTCATGCCAGCTCATGCTAGCTCATGTTAACTATTATAGATAACATGTTAAATATTATCAACAACATGTTAACTATTATAGATAACATGTTAACTGTTATAGATAACATGTTAACTATTATAATTTCATAAATATGTTTTGAGCTCAATGTGTGAACTGTAATAGTTAACATGTTATCTATAATAATTAACATGATATCTATAATAATTAACATGATATCTATAGTAATTAACATGAGACGTGAAGTTCCTCGGGTCGGCGACGGCAACGGAGCGGGTGAGGGAATAGGGCCGCGGACGAGGGAGGTGTAGGGGGAGGTGCAGCGGGGCGAGGGGAGTGGGGCAGGGGAGGGAGCTGTAGGATCGGGAGGCGAGCCAGAGCGGGGGAGGGAGGCGGAGCGGGCGGGAGGGAAGTAGGGAGGGTGAGGAGCGCGAAGCTGGGGAGGGAGGCCGAAGCGTGGGGAGGGAGGCGGGGGAAGGGGCTGAGGGGGACCGAAGACGGGAGGTGTAGGAGCGGAGCGATAGCGGTGGGAGGGGAGGGAGGCGGAGTGGGGGAGCGAAGGCGGGGGCAGGGGCTGAGGCGGACCGGAGAGGAGCGGAGGTGTGTAGCGGTGAGAGTTAAAATTAGGATTTTGGAGGAGTTGCCCATTGGAACTTGGGAGCAGGGTCTGGACACAAATTTCAAATGTATAGGTTGTACAACATTTAGTGGAAGCTTGGGGGTCGTGGCGGGCACATGGGGGGGGGAAAAAAACCTTGAATTTTGGGGCTTGAAGGCAATTCTATATATATATATAATATATATTATATATATTATATATTATATATATATATATATAATATATATATAATATATCATACTATTATATATATATATAAGAAAAATGGAAATGCTTGGTGCAAAGTAGAAAACATAGTGCTGCAGTAGTAAGGTGACTCATTCTCATCCACTCTTTAAATGGTCGCTACTTGAAAATGACCTCTTAATTATCCAACCCATGTACACATATGTGAACGTGGTCCCCTCATTAAATAAGTGGATGAGAATGGGTCACATCACTATCAAGTACCAAGTTTATGTTTGGTACCAAGCATACACACACAAATAATAATAAACAATACCATGTACTCTTGTCTCCACCGCTATCTCAAAGCATTGTTCCGAGTAGATATGCTTCAGGACAGGAAGTACAAAGGACAAAAGGCTATGAAGGTGCCTCAACTTATCTATGCCAGCTATTTCCTGCACCCTAGTCTGGAAAGTCACAGTTAGCTTTTGGCAAGCCACAGCGCAAATATCTCTCAATGAAAAAGTGATGTACCTTAATCAAATTGTCTCCGCTTAAGCAGACTTTGCAATTGCAAATACCCCTGCAAGCGGGGCAAATTTTTCTAATGTCTTCTACTGGAATATCAGCATACCTAAGATGGAAAACATAAATGAACAAATACTACTTACGATCCTGTAACATACAAGATTGTGATAACTAAAGATTCAATAGTAGATCTCATTCTGAAATATTAATGTTACCATTGAGAAATGCAGTTATCACAGTATCCTTTACGATCACAACTGATGCACCACACAACATTTACACCATCATTTCTTTGGCACTGATGGCAAGTTAGCTGCCCAGCCTCCCCTGCTACTGAACTCTTCTCATGATAATCCTATAATATCAAGCATGATGCTCATCAGATTTATCAAGAATATTCCAATAGATTGTACTTATGTAACATCTTCTGCAACAATAGAAAAATTAGTGGGAAAATAGATAAGATCAAGTACTAACAACTTTGTGAATGGTGCTTACGAAATAAATAAATAGATAATTGCTGTCACGCCTAAGAATAAAAGTACTCAAAACTACAAGGAATACAAATCAATCTACCAATATATGTACCAATCATCTCATTAAGAATACATTACTTTACTTACCACAACGAAGTTATTCGCTTCCTTAGTCAAATAAGAAGGGTTGTACGTTGATCTCTTGCTATCTTCCTCAGCCTTCATCACATCCCTATGCCCCTCATTACATCTCAATGAACTACCATGAATTCTACCCGTAGTATCTGATGGATACAATCCCCGACTTTTCCCGAATTTCTCCTTGTACTTCATATATCGCGTACCATCAACATTCATCGGAGATAGTGACCTCAACATCTCAGGGTCATTGTGCTTACTCTCTAAGAACGTATCATTATTCTCCACTGAACCCCTCCTCGCTTTCTTCAGACTAGCTCTAAGGGCAGAATTTGCCGCCCTCTTCTTTGCCTGGATGTAGTGCTTCTCGCAGACCGTTTTATCCGGCATCGACAAAGCACTGCACCTCCACTGCTTCCCGTCCGATCTCTTGCACCTCAGATCCTCTGGTATTTCCTCCATGGATCTTGATGCTTTATCGTCCTAAATATTTCACGGGGTTAAACTTACTAACAAATTTCGTGATAAGATACAGATCAGTTCTATCCAATTCTTGTGAGTTAGCAACTTCAATGTGTTCCATGTGAAAAGTGAAGTAAAGAAAACAAAATTATAACAGAAAGATTAAACTAAAACGACCAAATTCAACTAAAACAACAACTTAAGCATCACCAATGCATTACCTTAATTTTAAAAAAAAATCTACGCTTCATGAATCAAAAAGAAGTGAAAATAAGCCTTAATTATTAACAATAGCAACTTCTACTAATCAGGAAAGACCGAAACGCACAATGCAATAAATCATACACAGTAACAAATCAACTCGTTATAAAAGAGAGAGAGAAAAGATCTTGAAGCCCTAATCCTACTTCGGCATTGAACTGAGAGACAAAATCAACCCTGATCAAAGGACAAAAATTGAGGAGTGAAAATTCGAATCAATTTAACAAATAAAAATCGCACCTTTGAGTTCCCCAGTTTCTAGGGTTCGTACGCTGGCGAGGAGAGAAGAGGCGAAGAGGTTGAAAAGGACATGGCTGGTAAAAATAAATAGACTTTTTATGCGAACAAGGACGGAATAAATATAAATTTGGAGAACGAGGACTCGTCCGAACTTTGTTCATGCAGCCGTGCTTTTAATAAAAATCAGCACGAGTGCTTTCTCTGCTGTTTCTTTGTCTGCGTATTTTGTAAGGTTAGAAAGAGTGGTGATAGTGGGAGGAGACGAGAAAGCTAAACGCTTCTCGGTTCTGCAACTGCGGAAGTTGTAGGAAATTACTGTATTGACCCCGCCTAAATGATGGTGTGGATCTAATCGTAGCAGGCCTAGCCCAATAAAAACAGTATGTCAACGAGCCTGTGGCCCTGGAATGAGCCTACTCTGATATGGGCTGCGCTTTACCGTCATTGGCAATTTGCTGCAGTAAAATTACTTAGTTGGTGGAGCACGTAGTTATAGTTACACTATGTTTTATAACCACGTGCAATGCACGTGGTTAGATACCATAATTACGTATTTTGGCTTATTTCCTAACTAAAATTTGTTCATTGGTTCAACTTTAATAGTTTGTGTTTACTTTTATCTCTAAACTTTAACATTGCGATTATTTATTTTCTTTGATGTTTGTTTAAATGGGATATACCTAATTTAGATTTTCATGTTGATATTTGAATTGATAGAAAACAAATATAATCTAAAGCTAATTTAAACTTTCATATTATTTGGACTGATATAAAACCAAGCCTTAGTTGAGAAAGTAAAGTGTTGCGAACGATGAAAAATATTAAAACATTGTTATACAAGGAAGGTGAATATTTAAAACCAATAAGACAAGATGATTGATTAAAAAGTATGTGAAAACAATACAATAGAGAATATAAAATTTGTTCCTAATCATTAATAGAATTTTTAAAAATTATAAACTAAATATTAATGCTAACTCTAGTATATTTTTATATGATAAAAGTATCTAAATAAGCATATAAAAGTACTGAAAAAGTTCATGAAACTCTCTTCCAAAGATTCCTAATTTCACTCAAAATAATTAAACTATTCTATAAAACATTTAGAAAATATTGTCTTTTATTCCTTCTATTTTATTTTTTTTATTAAGCTAAGATCAATCATTCTTTACCTTTATTTTTTTTCTGGGCAATTCTAGAATAGTGTCTTTTACATCGATTGTGACATCAATTTTTGCACTGTTATCTTTTCTAGGCTTGTTATTCTTTTATCTTCTCGTTTAACTTCACAAAGAAGTCGAATGTATTTCTGATGTTCAACACGAACTTCTTGAAATATAGACTTTGATTTTTCCTATTTCAATGAGAATAAATTTTAATTTCATATATATAAAATTATTTGTGTTCCTAATTTATTATTTAAATAAGATTAGGAGCTACTTCTTTTTCCTCTACAATGAATTCTTTTGATGCATCCAATAAGAGTTTCTATTATGTCAATAATGTTACATTTGCTTTATCCTTGTCATTTTTCACAAAGATCTGAACTAAATACCTACATTTTTTATTACTAATTTGCCTTAGATTATAATATTAATATTTAATTTCTTTAGTATTTGAAGAACAAAATATGAAATTTATGAATACTTACTAATATTTCTTGCACCTTCCATGGAGAATTATTCTTTAATTGAGATAAAGTTGTTAAATTATTCTTCAATGGAACTCAGTTGGTGCTTTTTTAATTTATTTCTGTTACTTTCTCATTTGCAATGGAAATAGCTTGATTCTTTTGAATGATATCTCTAAACATTTTGATAATTTCTATAAATATTATTTTACCTTATATTATTTTACCCTATAAATATTATTAAGATCAGAGATTAATGTTTCTAAATTATAATCAATTGATGCTAAGCTATTATATTATAGTCTTTTATTATTTTTATGAATTTAAACATCTATCAATTAATGTTACCAATGTATTTTTGCTGTTCCAACTTATTAGTAAAATTACATGCAGTTACTTTGATTTATATAGTGACAATAATTTTAAAGCTACCATATATATTTTCAAATTTTTATTTCTTAACCGAATATTTTTAATCAATTCTTTCTTTTGTTTACCAGCATTAACTTAGACTACTTTTAGATGATGAAAAGGGATAGTAAACCCTAAATTAAAAATTATATATATATATATATTAGAGTTGATTTGTAATTTTAAAACTTTAGGAGTGATTTTTAAAAAATTATTTTTAAGTTTGGTAGTTATAATTTCTATGTTTCATGTGTTGGTAGTAATTTTCAAATGTCAGAATATTTCTTAGAACTCTAAAAATTTAAGGGTTATTTTATAATTATTAAAATTTTAGATTAATTTTGGAAAAACTCAAATATCAGAGGTCTGCCAATAATTTCCATATTTAATGTGTACCTGTTATAAATTTTAAAATTTTAGAGTTTTTTGCGATTTTTAAATTTTGAAGAAGTTTTTTGTTGCAAATTTTTATAACTTTAAGGTTAATTTTAGTAAATTTTAAATTTTTAGGTGCATGAAGGTAATCTCTTGAAATTATCTTTTGTTGTTTACAAATTTTAAAATTTTAGAATTTTATGGTGGTTTTTTATAGTTTGAACTTTTGAGGATGTTTTTATAATTTTTAAGACATTGAGGGTATTAATTGGAAATTTTAAATTCTTCAGAGACTGCTGTTAATTTCTTAATTTTATGTTTTTTATTCTAAGTTTGAAATGTTAAAATTTTTCAGGTGCATCATGGTAATTCCTTGAATTCATTTATGTTGTTTGAAAGTTTTGAAATTTTAGAATTTCAGGGTGTCTATTTGTAATTTAAACTTTTGAGGGTGTTTCTATAATTTCTAAGACGTTCAAGTGTTAGCTACAAATTTTAAATTTTTCATAGACGGTTGTTAATTTCTTGATTAATGTTTGTTATTTTAAGTTTTGAAACGTCAGGATATTTTCTATACTTTTAAAGTTTTTAGGGTATTCTGTGTAATTTTAAAACTTTTTAGGTGTTTTTTGCAATATTTCATGTAGTATAGTATATTAGTTACGTATAATTTCTGAACAAACTAATACCTTAAAGTTGTTTTATATACTTTATTAATATTATTTTTTAAAATTGTTGAGCTATAGACAGTTCACGTAGGATTAGGATATGATATAATTATAATTAGGATAGATTAAGATATAAATAAAATATTCAAAATAATGAATAATAATATTAACTATGAAAAGATTTTACCGAATTCGCGATTTTAAAGGGAGTATATGATTTGCTTGATTCAGTCTAAAATTATGCAATTTCATAACTACACTTGCTTGATTCAGTTTAAAATTATGCAATTGCTCAGTCGTAGTTGTATTTGCACGTGAGTTTAGGGTTTTAGACGTCTGTTAGGGACTCGTTACTAGTGTCTTAGCAAAAAAGAGAAGAAAGGGATGATAAATTTGAGAGATATTGGAACGGACACAAGTAAGCATACGAGGATACGATTTCTTCTGAGTAAAAATTGACCCAAAATATTTCCAGCCTGATACAGTTCAAAATTGGAAAGAGCCATAGTAGACTTCATATAAGAGTCATGTTACAGGGACCCAAATTCATGGGACATGGGAGGGGACAGGTGAGGTGCCCCCTCCTCGTTGCTCCACACCCAAAATATTTCCAGCCTGATACAGTTCAAAATTGGAAAGAGCCATAGTAGACTTCATATAAGAGTCATGTTACAGGGACCCAAATTCATGGGACATGGGAGGGGACAGGTGAGGTGCCCCCTCCTCGTTGCTCCAC